CGTAATGCAGATGTTGATTGCGGCACGATGTGGGCTAGTCCCCATCTGTTGCTTGCGTCTCATCAACGTCATTGCGATGGAACGACTCTACATCATGATATGATTTCATACGTCCAAGATGAATGGATATGTATACATTTACATATTCCGACAACTATGACATTCCGGATATTCATGGATGGAACTATTACATCATGGATGATTTCTTTTCCATTATATATATATATATATTATTCATGGTACCTGGAATGGCTATGTTTTGCATGTATTGCTCGCCAAATCTTCTTTGCCAATGGTATTCAGATGGCACATGACCGTGCGCTGCTATGGATTTCTATGGCCAACCCATTTCTGTGGATGACGGCTGCGCGGTGCGCAAATGCGGCAGCCGGGATTTCAAGTGGTTGCGTATTGGCTAGAGGCAAAATGTCTCTTGCATCTGAGTGTAGGAATGTGCTACGATTTGCGGATGCATGTTTCTGCCTTAATTGGACCTGGCAAGTTTCACAATGAATGGACGGTGTAGCAATAGTGAGTGAAAGAGTGTTCGACACAGTTTCGTAGCTGAAGCCGTTTGGACCGCATGATGAACAATGCGACCCAAATAGGGGATGTTAAAACCCTCCTGGCCCCGTGCCTAAATTGGGAAGCAGTTCTGAGGTCCGTGTTTGTGTTGATTACAGGGTTCCATTGATTGCCATTTGGCTCAAGTCACAAGTGAGGTTCAAGATCTTATGTGAAGCTGCGTTCATACGTGATCGGCAATTGAGAGCGGAAAACACTTCGCCTGCGCTGCATTTGTCAGGACCACTGTTGTAACTATTATTCCTTCTCCCTTACAACATTTGCACGGGTTCGGCTATAACGGTTTGACCGTATACACCTTTCTACGTGGTTGGTATTTAGAGCTGGAGGGTTCGGTGGACAGCGTCCCACGGGACGTCACCTTGCCGTCTCTTGACACGAATTGAGAAACTAGAGAAAGAAAAATCTGACAAATTAATATATAAACTTCCTGCTTTACAATTTTGTAATGCTTCGTTAATTTAAATTAATAATATTAACATATAATAATATTATTAATTGCTATCATAGTCTGTCATTTTATCCTCTGGTATTGTTGTTGAAGTAGTACTACTTATATCATCTATTAAATCTTCTTCATCAACAAAATTATTTTGAAATCTTAATAATTCCTCGTCTGTTGGTCGTCTTTTTAACACTTTATAAAGTTTATGTATCCAAGAATTTGTATGAAAATTATAACTACCCCTACGATAAAATCCACCACATCTACATAGTTTCATTGGCATATTATTATATTATATTAAGTTAGAATATCTTTATTCATCATTTGTAATTTGAAACGCCTGTTCAAATCTGATATGAAACATTTTGTTAATGTCTTTAGCATTCATATTCACGTAGAAGAAACTATAAGGTGCGTCATTAACGGCTTGATGATACATATCTAATAATTGCTGTTTATCAACAATGGCGCTATTTTCTTCAATAAAACTCATTAACTCACTTGCATTTTTCAACATAAAAATATATAATGAACTGGCATTTAAACGAATGATAGGCGCTAAAACATTATATTTTTGTGTTGAACAAATTACACTTACTGCATCGTGCCTACCTCTTGTAAATAATCCACGTAATAATTTACTATATCTAACAAATTTAGGATCATCGGCATGATCGTCTATAACGATTAATATTGAATGCAGTTTCTTTATCTTTTTAGATTTCATATCATTAATTATTTTCTTCTGTCTTTCAATTACATTTTTGTAAATCACTTGGATTATAAGTATCAAAATACATTTGTTCTTTTTCATCATCCACGTGCAATTCATCCCTGATGTATTTTTTAACTTCTGTAAAAGTTGGGTCATTATGAACGCTGGGGGAAAATATAAATATTCTTGCAAATGAATTTCTATAAACATTAAAAATAAGATTCTGAACTAAAACTGTTTTGCCTCCCGTCGAACTCGCAACTATAATACTTCTAACTGGTAATTTTGGCACGTGCTCATATTTGGATTGTTTGAATTCATATTCAGTTATGTTTATTGGTTTTATTATTGGGACATCTGTCATAGTTGATATTAAAGAAATATAGAAAATTATATTTAAAATTAACTTGTAATTAATATTAAATGGAACATCATTATGTTATGAGTGGCGGTGAATAACATAATGGAACAGGTTTCCATTGCTTCAATCAATAAGCATTGAAGATAATTAGTTTTGTGTCTCGCTCGCGTGTGCAATGAAAACCCCAAGTGCTGTGCCCCACCAATATCCTATTATGCATGAAAATAATAAGATTAATTAGAATAATTTATCTTAATATTTAAGATGGATAGAAGTTATTCAGATTATATTGATATAATAGATGAAGTAGAGAATATAGAACAAGTAATAATAACTGACAATAAAATTAAGAAATGCTGTTATTATACATTAGAATTAATAAAATTAGGAATACAATATATCAAAAATAAAAATGTAAATATTAATATAAATGGGAAAAAAGAAAAAGAGTAAATCAAATTCAATATTAGATAATGAAAGACATGCCAGATATTGAAGCTCGGAAAGAAACAACAGTAAGTGTTAAATCATTAGGTGTGTGTAAAGAAATAAAATGTGATAAATGTAATCATATTATGAACTTTCAAAATGAATTAATAGTAGATAAAAAAGGCGGTGTTAATATTAAATGTATTCCGTGTATGTTATCAGTCAAGAAGAAAGACCAAGAAATGAGTGTAGTGAAGAAGAAGGACGGAGATATGACAATAGAAACAAATGACCATTTAGTCAATGTTAGTTTTAATAGGGTAATAACATAGTATTTAAAGAGTAGATTTTACACTAAATCAATTTATAAATAAATATATATATTTAAATACATAATTATATAAATAAATATATATAGAAATGTCTGAAGTTGAGAATGATGCTATTGCTGAACTATCAAAGAAGATAATGACAGTTAGTAAAAATGTTAAACTGTTGTACGAGATGATAAAAACTATTGACCAGAAACTTGATGCAAAGGCAAACGAACCAAAAAATAACAATGAAGAGAAGGAAAAGATTGATAAGATCTTTGAAAAGAAAGGGATAGGCAGACCCAGCGGTGATTATGGCACGAAGCGTAAAAAATATTGTGATATGTTAAATAAGGGACAAATCAAAAGTCCAAAAGAACAAACATTAGAATATTATAAACTAATCAAGGGCGATGATGGTAAATATGTAATTGTTGAAAATTAAAATACAAATAGTTCTAATAATATGAATTTATTAGAATTATTTTCAGGCAGTGGTTCTGTTTGTAAAATTGCACGGGATTTAGGTTTTACTGATGATAATCCAATTTTAACAATTTTAATTTATTAGTTTAATTTTAATTTATTAATATTATTTTAATTTAATTTTAATTTAAAATTAAATTTCTTGTAAAAAGTATTTAAAGAAATATTAATTATATATATTATCATACAAATGGTTGTATTTACAGAGGTTGAACAGGAAGAAATTATCAATGAATTCTTAACTTATATTGAACAACAGGAAACTAAAATAATTGATGATTTTCTGAGTGATAATGATAATAAAACAGAAGAAGAAGATGACAGTCACGGATTTGTAACTGAAAAACGGTTAGAAAAGGAAATTACAGAACATCATAAAATGATAAACAATATTGAAACGAAAAATTACATCCCATTAAAACATGCAATGATAAAATATATGGAACAAACTAACAACCAACGAATAATTAGAAATGCCGGAAGCTATTCATACAGTCAAAATTCATCCAATTTGTGGTATTTAAGCTTTAGAGAATTTGAATGGTTAATCGAAATAAAAAAGAATGGTAACAAATGGGTTTGTAGCAAAGAAAAATTAGATGCAGTTGATTTTAACATATTGTATAAATATAGAATGTTTAAAAGAAGATTTGAATAATAAAAAAAACGAATGAACCAGACCTTGCCCATAATATGTCTACAAAAGTTGTGATAAAATTTATTGTAAAATAATTTATCATAATTTTTGGAATAATATTTTTGAAAATTTTGTAAAGTTATATTTTTTTTTTTTTTTAATATATTTTTTGAAAATTTATTATTTTTTTTTTTTAAATTGATTTTTTAAAATTTTGTAAGATTTATTTTTATTTTTTGTAAAATTTTGCAAACAATATTTTTTAAAAAAATATATTTTAAAATATGGATGAACTTACTAGGAAATTACCTGCTTCAAAATGTTGATTTTTGAAAATGTGCTGTTTGAGGTGCTGTTTTAAAATGTTGCTAAAAGTGTAGGGGGGACCCTAGGATTTTTTATAAAAAGATGGGCAAGGTCTGGTCTAACTCTAAGTCCCCTAGGTCCCCTCGCCCCCCTAGTCCCCTGACCCCCCCTAGGTGGCCCCTTCCTACGAGTTCCCCCCGTCAACTCGCCTCCCAGAAAATTTAGGGGACCTAGGCGACTTAGGGGACTTAGGGGACTTAGGGGACCTGGGTTTTGAAGGGCCCAGGGGAGTTAGGGGATTTAGGGGACCTAGACGACCTGGGGGAGTTGGACCCCAGAACCCAGAAACCCAGGGACCCAGAGAGACCCCCAAAAATCCAGGGACCCCAGAAACCCCCGCCCTGCAGGGCCCGACAGCTTGTGACTTCCGCGGTGCCGATTTCGGTTGCTTGTTTTGTTGGCAGGCCAGTTTGGTATCTCGTTCATTGGACTTTGATGCAGCGGCAGCAGGTCAGTGACGGATGGACGGCGCGAAGCCTTGCAAGGCTTGGCCCGACCGACCTTCAGGCCGCGAGTGGAGCAAAAGCATCCAAAACCCTACATTGGTGTTGCCAAAGAAGCCAGTCAATCTTGCGTTTGCTCTGGAAACTTGGCTCGAGGGTACTGATCAACACTGACACAACAACAGCTCGCAATTGTTGCCCGATGGGTCTTTTGCCAGTGCTTGAGGAATCGCAGGCCGCTCAAGCGCTTTTCGAATAGCCATGGCGATGATGCGGACCAGGACAAAAAACCAAGGCTGGCAAGCTTGTGACGCCACCGGGCCCGCGGTAGGCAGCGGCCAGGTATGTGCCTCTGCCTCGGGATCGCGTTGGCGCTGCTCCTGCAGCCGAGCACGGCCTGGGTCTTGGGACACATTTTTTTCTCGAAAGCTTTCGGGTTTCAGGAGTCCCTTCTCGATTTTCAGGACTTTGCGCGAGGAGTTCCTGGGCTGAAGGACCATGATGTCCTCCCTTGAATGTTCCTGTTTCGTGCTGCCGTCCCAGGACAGCACATTGGCCCAGTTCTCAGAGTTGCCCGCATTCGCAAGCAAATTTCACTTTTGCTCTCTCAGGTGGCAAAACGGCACCCGTTGCATGCCGGAGTCGCTCGGCGCGCCGGGGCTGCGCAAGAGGACTCCTCCGACCCGAAGCCTGTTCGCATCTTTTGCCGGTTGCCGCGAGGACGACATTGCTGAGGCCTGGGGGACACGTGCATCAAGCTTGAACGCTGGGCTTCTTGGTTCACTGCTCACATGCGACCGCGTCTCTCAACATGAAGCGGCCGTGCTGAGCGAGACTGTGCGGCCAGCCTGCTTTGCGTTGGTTCAGGCTGTGCTGCTGCAAAGCAATGTTCCCACATCCAAGTTCCAGGACTTTTTTCAACTTGGCCTAGCCTTCATTGAGAGGACGCGGGCGACAGTCCGGGTGACGGTACCGTACCCATTCTTCTTGAACCTGCTGATGCAGTTGGATCGCCCAGAGCGTTTCAAACACCTGCGACCCCAAGATCCCGCCGGCCCAGACAGTAGATGGAGTTCAAAGGCATTCGAGGCAGTTTGCGCAATGCGAGTGGCCATTGACATGGATGGCTTTCCCTACGACCTGCCCTGCAATCCTGAAGCAGCGGCGGAGCAATTCAGCAGAGACAGGAAATCTCGCGTGTGTCTGGCAAAAATGACGAATCAGAAAGGTGTAGACAGCATCGGATTCGATGGTGACACCATGACCTTGATTCACAGTAAATACCCAGAATCTGATGGAGAGCAACAGGTGGGGCAAATTACGAAGTTCATGGACTTCGTAAAAAAGACTGGCGTTACATGGGCCAAATCAGCAAAATGCACGAGGATTCGGGCGATCTTTGCGACTGGGAAGGCATCAATAGACTACAGATTGAAGACGGCAATGCGCCTCAAGGCCGAGGGGGTCGACATCACTTACACAATTTACGCCAAGACAGAAAACAGCAGAAATTGTGCAATCCCGACACAGCGGATCGATGCTTGGATCCCTCCAGGACTCATGTGCATGTAGCAGTAGCAGAAGTCGCGCATTTGGACGTACCCCTGCCGCCGCTCCTCCTCCTGTGAGTGGAAAAGACGCGAGAGTCAGGGAAGGGCAGGTCTGAGCGTGTTTCTTCATGGATGTCATGCAGGTTCCAGATCCGGGCCCGTGAGCACAAACTGAATGGGCAGAGGGACGTGCTCCCACCTTACAAATTACAAGAGTTGCATGTGCCCAGAGGGGTTAAGGCTTCAACCGTTGCGGGCTCGCTCATGGATGGCTGCAGAACTCAGCTGTCAGTCGATGGTCCTGGGCCGCAACGGCTGCCCCAGGAAGTCGTCTAGCTGCCTTGCCGCAGCGGGCCTGCGCGCCCAGTCAGCCTGCCCGCGGCGTTGCCGCTGCCCTGGGGGGCCGGCAGGGCCAGCTTCAGCAGCTGCACGTCCCCGTACTGGGGGTTGAAGCTCTGGGCGGCGTTGGTGGGAGCCCTGAAAGGCCCCGCGTCCTCTATGGCCTTGATGCGGCGGTCGGTCAGATCCTTGTTGTGCTGGAACTTGTCCGCGTTGTCTTGCAGCAGCCGGAACTCGGTGGCCGGCTGCCGCTCCACGTCTTCTGGGGCCCCGTAGACCGTCTCGTGCAGCCGGGCGTTGTAGGCCCCGGCGGCCTTCTCGAAGTGGTCGCTCCACTGCGCTCCCTTGCGGGCCACTCGCGTGGCCAGATCCTTCTTCAGCGTCTGGATCACGGCCGTGGCGTTGCAGTCCTCGGGCCGCTCTCGCCCGCCAGCTCCCGGGTGGCCCGCTTGGTGGCCTGGCCCACGGCCTCGCTCTTGCTCTGCAGCGGCTCGCCCTGGCTGAAGTCGATCAGGTCGGCCTGCAGCCGGTCGTTGGGCCCCTCCGACTTGCCGAGGGCCCTGGGCCGCGGCGGGCTTCAGGGCCTTGAAGGCCATAGCCTGCGTGACGTCCATGTTCCGCTGCCCGGTCCCGCGCATTGAAGTCGTCGGCCAGGTCCCTCAGGGCGTCCATGCTTTTTCTCACATGCCGTTCTGTTACTCTTGGGTCGCTTGCCACGCCTCAGCGCGCGGCTTTGCAGCCGCTTGCGCACGCCCCAGAGCACGCTGGTGAGGTGAGAGTAGTCCAGTGCGATCTCGGTGCCCAGCCAGTCAAGATGGTGTAGCTGCCCACGGTGTACGGCGCCGTGGTGACGCTGGACTGGCTGTTGCTGCGCACGATAATGTTCGTGAGCAGCGTGTTCGCCGGGTCCAGCAGGCTCGCCAGCGTCACGTCGTCGGCGCCGTCCAAGATCTGCAGGCCGTAGACATCGACGGTGCCGGCGGTCTGGTTGGGCAGGCCCTCGGCCTGGAAGTGGGCCCCGAAGTGCAGCTTGGCTGTGCCGCCGGGCGGGATCTCGAAATACATCTTCGCGGTCGCCCAAGTTCCCTGGACGTCGCCCACAAAGCTGCCGCAGAGCGGGTTGTAGACCGCGCCCCCGTCGGTGACGTGCACGACGAGGTTCGTGGCGGCGCCCAAGCGGTGTCTGCAGGCGAAGAGCAGCCGCCTGCCCGGCGCGAGGCTGTAGGACCTCACGAGGCTCCAAGGATTCAGGCCTCGTCGCTGGCGCCGTCGTCGGGGAAGCGCACCGCGATCTTCAGGGCAGAGGCGGCGTCGGTCAGGCTGAGCTTGCCTGCCAGCAGCGCATCAACCTGCGCTGAGGTGTAAAAGCTCACAAGGGCAGCTGCAATGGCGTTGGCGGTCTCGGTGTCTTGATCGGCGGCCAGGCGGTGCGGCAGCAGCGCTGCTGCGATCTGGCTGCTCGTGAACGTGTGTCTCGGTGTGCTGCTGCGCCGCTGTTCGGTAGCTGCCGAGCAGCGCGTCGACCTGGGCCGAGGTGTAGTACGCGACCAGCGCCGCAGCGATGGCGCTGGCCGTCTCGGTGTCCTGCTGCGCCGCTGTTCGGTAGCTGCCGAGCAGCGCGTCGACCTGGGCCGCCGTGTAGTACGCGACCAGCGCCGCAGCGATGGCGGCTGATATGGCCGTTTCGGAGGATGTTGGAGCCTTGTAAAAGCTCCCACGCAGTCTGCCCCGCCCAGACCGGCGTGTTTACTGACTCGCGCGGACTGAAGGGCGGCCAGGCTGCCAATATTGCGTCGAGGGCTGTCTCGCTGGCCGAGAGGGCCGCGTTGGTGGCGTAGGCTTGCGTCGGGCTTGCGAGGGTGGCGTCCCCCACGGCCAGCTGGCCACCGTGGCGTAGGGCAGCAGGGCATTCGCGGGCCGCCGGCATCCGCCTTGGTCCCTGGAGGCAAGCTTGGTCGCCATGGATTTTTGGCTCTAGTCCAGCACCGACACTCCTGCCCCCCAGGAGAGGGTCACCAGCTGGTAGGCTACCAGATGGATGAAGAGCGCTGTGGCGCTTTGAATGTGAAGCCAGGTCGCCCGAGCCGGGCGGCATCTTGGGCACCCTTTCGGTCGCCGCGCAGGTAGGCGTTGCGGCTGATGTCGATATTGCGGACGGGAGCGAGTCCTCGATCCGCGCCGCTCCGATGTGGGAGTAGTCGGTGCCGGGGTTGAGGAGCAAGTTGACCTTCAAGCCGGCGTAAAGCGCCCATGAGCTTCGTGAAGGCCCTTGCCACGGTAACGTTGTGCTCTGCGGCGCCTGTGGGCACGCTGGGGGATAGCTGAATACGAGCAAGCGGCCCGAGAAAAGCCCTCCAGCGCCGAGTCCACCTGGGAGGCCAGCACGCAGACGTTCTGGATCTTGAACCTCATGGACAGGGTGCCGCCCGCCGGGTGGGTGCCGCCGTTGGGGGCCGTCTTGGCGTCGGCGAACTCAATCTCCAGGACTAGATTGAGCTGGGGCGGCAGCATCTTCCCACAGCGCAGCAGGCCCATGGTCGGGCGCATCAGGACGTCAATGTACTCTTTCTGGTCTTGCTGCCCGGCGGCCTGCCGCGGGCTCCCTGGCTCCGGCGCGGACGCGGGCTCGGTGTTTTCCATGCTTTTTACCTTATACGTGAGCCAGGTATAACACGAACGACGAGGAGGTGCCCCGCAGTCGGACGACTTGTCCTTCAAGATCCGTCAGCCGGAAGCGGAGGTGGCGCAGGGTGATGGGCAGGTGCATGAAGTGGCCGTCGTCGGAGCCGGTTTCGACGATGGTACCGACGCCGCTGCTCATGACCACCTTGGCGATGATGTCGTTGCCCAAGTTGCCGAGCACGCGGCTGGCGTTGGCAAGCTGGCTGCAGCGCAGGTATACCTCACTGTAACTCATCATCGTAAGAAGCTCGAAAACTTGCTGTGTGCCATCCTTGGAGATGAAGCTTGGGCCGAGCAGGTGATTGATGGAGAGCGGCTTGCTCGGAGTGGCGTTGGGCGCCAGGGGGTAGTCAACGACGTTGGGGAACTGCTGCCTGAGCTCCAATCAACCTCGAAGTCACTGTCGCTGCCGCTAACTTGCTTCCGGCTGTCGACGTAGATGGTGGTCATCTCTCCTTCTTTGCTTCTGGCACGCGGCCAAAACGCTCGGCGACTCGCAGTCGAGGAGATAGAGGCGCCCCGCTTGCCAGGGCGGCGAGGGAGCTAGCACTGCGCTTGGGCGCAAGGAGCTGCAGCAGGACACACATTTGCGAACAATTTCTGGCCGAGGAAGCCCAGCGCTGGGCTTCAGAGTAGACGTAGAGGAAGCTGTGCGGCTCCCTGGTGGCCTGCTCGTAGATGTCCTTGGGCAGCAGCGCGCTGAGCTCCTCGAGGATGGCGTCGAGCTTGTGCTGATTGCGAAGGCGCCAGCAGCAGAGGAATTGCATGTTGACGCGCACCGCGGCGCTGATGAGCCGCAGCTTCTGGGAGCTGACCCAGGTGCTGATCTGCATGTGCCGGCCGCGGATGAACAGCGTGTCCAGTGCGCCGTGGGGCTTGTGCAGCTGCGGAGTGTCTGCGAAATCATCGATTACAACCAGGACCTGATAGAGCCGCTTCATGCTCGCGTCGGTAATCTTGCGCTGCTGCTGGATGATCCGGCGCAGCGCAGCCTCGTCCCACTCATCCCAGTACACTCATCATAGTAGGCCTGTTCGCGCTCCGTGTTGATGCCCAGGTCCTCCTCGATGTACTTCTTCACGGGGATCCATCCGTCACTAGGGCTGAAGACGTAAATGCGCTCGAAGACGCCCCGGTACTGCTCCAGGATGAAGGCTGATCAGCGCCACCGTCTTGCCAGATTTGCTCGGCCCCAAAAAGATGCCGGTGCAGGGCACCTTGGGCACGACGGGGTCGCTAGGTTGTTTCGAGGTGTACTCTGGCGTGGGGAAAAGCCACAGGGGCTTGTGCCCGAAAGTTGCTTTGCTTGGTTACAGTTGTGGCCTGTGGGACCCCAAACTTGTCTTGTTTTTACGAGCGTGCCGCATGGCACGAAGAGCGGTTGGTAAATTCCCGTCACGCTTCAAACATTTTTGGAACCTAGTTAAAACAGGTGCGGAGAACACCAAAGCCACATACGGCCCGGCACGGGTTTTTGGTGCCTACTTGAACTTGTCAACATCACTGTTCATGAAAACGGCAAAATCACCTCACCAGTAGGGAAGGAACTTGACTTTTTCCGCAGCTGTCCAAATGGGCTCGAACAATGCGTCACACATGCTTGGGAACACGGTGTTACCAAACACCTCCGGCAGAGGCAAGGTTTGGAGACCTTTGGGGACCTGGACTTGCATGCAACATCCAACTTTGCAAACAACCGGACACATTGGCTCATCGCTTGTGCACTTGCATAGCTACCGAGAAAATTCGGCGTGAAAACCCTTTGCTTGCACAATTGGCCAGTAGTCATGCAAATTCGGCATGGGCGTTAAAACCAGAGGTCTGTTTGCCGATTCCTCCAGACAGTTTTGAGATTCCGGCACTTCTAAAGGATGATGAAGATGTCATCTTCGCATACACAGACGGAAGCGCGTACGCTTCGTGTCATCCACACCTTGCGTGTGCAGGGTTTGCGGTCGTGCTAGACCCCACAAGAGGGGAAGAAAGCCGTCGGGTCACACA